CAGGCTGCTGAATTCTCCACACTGGGGTGGGGGGGAGTGAGTGAGACGGGGTGTTAGAAGCCTCATTTAGCAGATGGGGAAACTGAGGCTCAGAGAGATGAAGGGACTTGTTCAAGGTCACCCAGCCAGGAAGTGGCAGAACCTGGCCTAGGGCTCTTAGCTGCAGCCCGAACGGAAAGAACTAGCCTGGGGAAGGAATGGGAACAGAGGCCGTTTGGGGAGGACAAGAGGGTTTTTGGGCACAACAGGTATGGGGTCTAGAATGTCAACCCACATGGTCCCCCTTCACCTCACCTAAAAGGTTGGCAGTTCGAATCCACCAAGAGCTCCTTGGAAACTCTATGGGGCAGTTCTATTCTGTCCTATAGGGTCACTATGAGTCAGAACTGACTTGACGGCAGTGGGTTAGTTTTTAGTTGGCAGTGGGTTAGTTTTTAGTTAAAACAGTTCAAAGACAATGACTGCTAGAATCAGATAACCCAGATAACCTGGGTGTGCTGTCTGGTAGATGAAGCACAGATTTCCATAGATGTACACATTTTTCTTTACGAAAAGAGGAAACAATTCCTCATTCATTCAACAAACGCCCATGGAATAGCTACTTTGCACCAAGCCATTTTCTAGGCGTTGGAGACGCAGCAGAGCTCAAGACAAGGCCAAGCAGAAAACAGCTTAGTGGCAGAGTCACCGCTGCTGTGAAGACTATCAATCAAGCAGGCACCTCAGCGGGAAGAGGGGAGGGCTCTCTGAGAAGCTGACACGTGGATGGAGCCCTGGAGTTGCAGACATGGGAGAAAGGATGGTGGGGGAAGGGCAACTGCAAAGGCCAGGAGGTGGACCAGGAAGCCAGGGTGAGAAGAGCGGGGAGAGGTGAGAAGGGTCGGGCCTAGAGGAGGATGGATTTTATATTCATTGTGATGGGAAGCGACGCTGGAGGCCCAGACATGGCCTGGGGGTCACTGACATTCCCAGGTAGGTAGAGGGAGCCAGTAAAGAAGCCCAAGAAAGGGCAGCCTGTGAGGTAGGAGAAAAACCAAGGTGTGTGTGTGTGGTTGTTGGCTGCTGTTGAATGGACTCTGACTCAAGGCAACTTTATGTATAAGAGAATGAACCGTCTCATGACTGTTGGTATGTTTGAGTCTACTGTTGTGGCTATTGTGTCAATCCATCTCATTGACGGTTTCTCTCATTTTCGCTGACCCTCTATTTTACCAAACATGACGTCCTTTTTTCTAGCGACCGGTCTTTCCTGATGACGTGTCCAAAGTGAACGAGCTGAAGTCTTGCCATTCTCGCTTCTAAGGAGAATTCTTGTATTTCTTCCAAGACTGATTTTTGTTCTTTTGTCAGTCCACAATATATTCAATATTTTTTGCAACTCTACAGTTTGAATGCATCAATTCCTCTTCTGTCTTCCTTTTTCATCATCTAGCTTTTCGCATGCATGTGAGGTGATTGGAAAGACCATGGCTTGGGTAAGATTCACCTTAGTCATCAAAGTGACGTTTGCCTTTAAGACTTTAAAGAGGTCTTTCGCAGCAGATTTGCCCAATGCATGATGTCATTTTTCTTGGCTGCTGCTTCCACAGGTGTTGATTGCTGATCCAAGTAGAGTGAAATTGTTGACAACTTCAATGTCCTCTCCATTTACCATGCTGCTTACCGGTCCAGTTGTGAGGATTTTCATTTGTGTGTGTTTGGGGGCGGGGAGTGGTATAAGAAGCTTCCAGAGTGAGTGGGGTGGTTGGAAAGAACAAAATGCCATCTGTAGAGTCATAGAATATTCCGTGACTCTTTTTTTCTGGGGAAGGTTTGGCTTTCAAAACGTTTTTCCTTTGTTCTTCCTTTTCCACCTTTAGTCCATCAACTAGGACGCTTCTGGGATGGCTGGGACTCTTCCACCATGAAGGCTGCCTGAGCTCATGCCACTGTTGAGGCAGACAGCCTCAGAGCCCAACCCTTCTAAGAGACACCTGCTCGGGCTTATCGTCCTACACTGAGCAGAATAGGCTATATATTGCTCTGAAATTGTCCTTGACAAAATAACCACAGAATGGACCATAGATGGCCTCAACTGGTTTTAGCAGGTTTTCAACGCCATTTTGGCATTTTAAGTGACTTATTAGCTCATTGAGTGAAAAATACATATAAGTACCCCTCATCTGGGTGGAGATTTAACATGCTAATGAAGGAAAATTGACCTCTTCCTTCATCCTGGAGAATCAAACCCTTGTCTAAAGAAAAGTCCTAGTCACCCCCAAGCTCTGAACGCCTTTGTAAAAGTCAATCCTGAATATTCTTGATGAATTTGCATTTCCTTGTCTGCTCTCTGTAAAAGCCCACCTCCACAAGCTGCCTGTGAGCAGGCTTGGAGTTAACAGCCCTGATTGCTTCTTTCCTCGTACAACGAAATAAAAGTGCTTTTCTTCTTTCCCACCTCAGCCTCTTGTTTATTGGGTGTAACAAGTCACGCCAAACAGAACCTGGGGTTTCCACCCAACAACACTGTGAAAGATGCACACAGGGTCCTTCAGGTTCTGCAGGCAGCTCTCCCACCCTGGAGGGGACCAGGGCAGTCCAGATTCCCAACCCCAGGCTCCCCCCGCCTCTGCCTTCAAGCCCTTACCCCAACCCGACCAGGATTTCCTGGCTCAGGAAGAAGGAAAAGTCAGCTGGGAAGTTAGGTGCCTGCCATTTATTAAACCCCTGCTATGTGGTACTGGGAGTTCTGGTAGTGCAATTGTTAAGAGCTATGGTTGCTAATCAAAAGGTCAGCAGGTCGAATCCACCAGCCGCTCCTTGGAAACCCTGTGAGATAGTTCTACTCTGTCCTATAGGGTTGCTAAGACTCAGAATTGACTTGACGGCAAAGGGTTTTTCTGGTTTCTGTGTGTTACTGGGTGCCAGCCTCTGAGCCTGTCTTCACGTTTAGTCCTTTAAATCTGAGAAGGAACTTCAGTAGGCGGGGCTGTTACGCACACTCTCGACTACAGGAATCAGTGAGACTTAAACCTTGTCTGCTGTCTTCTCTGCCCAGTTTTTATCCCTTAAGGTTTCATCTTGGGTCCCTGGTGGTGCAGCAGTTAAGAGCATGACTGCTAACCAAAAGAATGGCAGTTCAAATCCACCCGCTGCTCCTTGGAAACCCTATGGAACAGTTCTACTCTGTTCTATAGAGTTGCTGAGTCAGAATCAACTCCATGGCAATGGGTTTGAGTTTTTTTGTTTTGGTTTGGTTTCATCTCAGAGTAAAAGCCATCTGCCCTGCTACCTCCTTGCCTTCAGCTCCAGCCACATCAGTCTCCCTTCAATCATATCTGGCAGTCCTACCTCAGGGCCTTTGCACCTGCTGTTCCCATGCCCAGGATGCTTTAGCCTTAGGAATCTGCAGTTACCTTCCAATTTTCCATCTCTGCTCATATCACTAATCCAAGAGGCCTTCCCTGGCCACTGACTGAAAGCTGCCCTGCCACCCTGGTTTGCCTAGCCCCTTCCCTAGCATTTTTCTCCATCTGCCCTCCTACATAGTGTACTTGTTCTGCTCCCCCAACTAGAATGTCAGTTCTCAGCTCTACCTAGCCCAGAGGTTGGCACACAGTAGGTACACAATAAATGTTTAATGAATGGTAGACGTGGCCTCCATCTCAGAGGGTGAATTACTCACTGTCTGCTTAGTGGAGAAACTGCCGCTGAGGTGGCAAGTCACAGGAGGCCCAGCTCCCTCTAAGTGGGCCAAGCCCCAGCCCTCCACCCAGAAAGAGGGCAAGAAAACCCCCCACCCCAAACAATGAGCTCCTCAGTACCCTGTGACAGGGAGGCCACAGAAAACCACACAAGAGTCTTTCCGTCTTGTGCTGGCTCCGTGGCCCCAATTTCCCGAGTTTTCAAGATGAAGTTAGGATTTTTGGTGTGAAATCGTTCTCCCTACTCTTTTTGCAATGTTGGCAATGCAAAACATTTTTAAACATTGCGTGGGACTAGAAAAACACGCCTGGGGTAGGATTTGGCCTACAGCCGCTGGTGACCCAACATCTCTGCCTCGGGGTGAGGCTGTGTGGACCAGTTACCCCTGGCCTCAGGGAGAGCTGACCACATCCACAGGCACCACCAGCTCCCCTCAAAGAAAACAGGTTGGCGTCACCCAGTAGTACAGCCCCCTGGTCCCCTTGCTACAACCTGGCTTCTGGCTGAGGAGGCTGACCCCCACCTCTCGGCAGACAGAGGAAGGGAGGGTCATTAGGCCAGAATTCCTGGCAGATTCTACAGGCACTGTCCAGTCTATCAGACCGCAGCAATGATTTGCAGTGTTGGGGAGCCCAGGATGGAACACCAGGGAGCATGCTTGGTCACTCAGAGGCAGCAGAGGATCGAGTTGAGAGCATGGCGGGGGACTCTGATGGCTGTGGGTTCAAGTCCCGGCTCCGGAATGTTAAACGACATCACCTCAGTGTGGGTCGAGGCAGCGTGTAAAAGCTGTAAGAATGGTGGTGGCACCGAGGCAGTGCTGCACAGTGCCGGCCGTCATTTTCTTGCAGTCGTCACCCTTTGCTGGAGCAGCACCGAGTAGTTTACAGGTGCATTCCTGAGGTGATGCCAGCGCCGTCCTACAGATAAGAAAGTGGCTCCCAAGATGTCTGGCTCATCCCTGGCGGTGTCTCCAGCACGGAGCAGTGGCTGTGTGCCCTGCTGTCTGTGGAGGGCAAGCAGATGGGCGAGGAGCTCTGCGGCTCAGAGGCAGTGTATCACCTGGGGTTACAGAGGAAGACTCTTTCCCCAGTGCCCGGCTTCTGGGCTGGAGATGTGGAAGCCAGGTCGTCCCTCTCTGGCACGTGGGCTGGGAGCTGGGCTGTGGTAACAGGGATGCTGCAGGTGGCAGGGTGAGTCTCTCGTGGAAACCGCTGGAGCTTATTTCCTGTCAGCGCAGGTGCCGGCCTAAGGTTGACAGGGCCTCCCGCTCAGCCTCAGCACAGGCTTTCTCATAGAACCACATCACAGCGGGGTAGACAACAAAGCCAATATTTATTGCTCCGGGTTAAACCAGCGAAGACAGACCTGGGGATACAAGAATCTGGGTTCTTGGCCCCCCTAGGAAGCTGACCTTCTGTACTTGGGACCTGCTGGCCACCTGCTTATGGGCTGGGCCCCCACCTAAGTCTAGGTGCCACCCAGTCCCGGAGCAGGGTTCCTCCTCCCCACAGTACAGCCCAGGGTGCCACGTGCATAGATCTGAGCCCTGGCTGCAGGGGCTGCGGTGCTGGCCTTCACTGGGTGGCGTCTTCAGGAAGACGTCTTAGCAGAGGCCATCTCCTTCTTCTTCCCTGCAGCCTGCAGCAGTGCCAGTTTCTTGGGCAGACTGCTGCTGGCTTTCATCACCACGTCATGTTCGATCTTCTTCCGGATCCCAACCTCCAGGTCCTGACGGGGCAAACATGGGGCAATCACACTGGGACCCTGGGCAGAAGAAAAGCCTGGTCTGCCGCCCTCTCCCTGCTGGGAGCTCACAGGGGCTAAACAGCCCTGGACTGGGAGTCTAGTGGCTGGAACTTAAGTCTTGCTTTTGCCCTGCACTCTCTGGGACCTTACCCAAAACCCTTCTCGCCCCTCAGCTTCTAAACTCATGTGCATCCCCACTTTACAGATGGGAAACTGAGACTCCTGCACCGAGAAAACACTTGCCCATGCTCCTCAAATCACGCTGAGTGGTGAATATCTGGAATTGGCGTGCCTGACTCCAGAGCCCCTGGCCTCAGCCTGCAGGTGTGCAGCACCCGCTGGTCCCACAGTCGTCCCCAGTTTACAGATGGTGAACTGGGACTGAGAGGTGGGGGGGGGGGTGCACCAAGCAAAGGTATGGAGATTTGAACCCAAGTGTGTTTGGTGCCAAAACTGGTCACTTAATCACATTCCACCAACTGCCCTCCACCCTGCCTCTGAGTCCAAATGACCATCACTAGGGCAGCTAACCATGTGCCTGGGAGTTGGGGACACAACAGCAAACAAGACGGAAAAAAATCCCCGCCCTTAGGGAGCTGACATGTCAGGAGGGTAACACATAAGTCAGTAACAGAGCATGGCAAATGGCTACGGAGAAAAAGAAAACAAAGGATGGGGCGAGGCGTGAGGGTGGGGCTGCCATCAGGGAAGGCCTCTCAGAGGTGACGTGTGAAATCAGACCTGAGTTTGAAGAAGGGAGCAGGTGTATGTCTGGGAGGAGAACCCAGGCAGAGGAAACAACTGGTGCCAAAGTTCTGAGGTGGTAACATGCCTGGTGTATTCAAGGAGCAACTAAGGGGACAGTGTGGCTGAAGCACAGTGAACAATGGAGAGAGTGGGAGGAGATGGGGGCAGAGGTGGGGTGTATGTGTGTGTGCGGGCCCTCGTGGGCCGCAGGGAGGACTTTGGCTTTTGCTCTGAGATGGGAGCCACTGAGGGTTCTGAGCAGAGGAGGGACCTGACCTCAGTTGCTCACAGGCACCCTCTAGCTGCTGTGGGGGAAACAGACAGCTGGGAGAGGGGTGGGCAAGGATAGAAGGAGGGATACAGGGAGGAGGCCACAGAACTGATCCAGGTAGGAGACAATGCGGGCAGGGCCAGGTGGCGGCCAAGAAAGAGGGTGGATTCTGGATTTAATCTAAAGGCAAACTGATGGGATCAGACCTGGATGTAGGAGAAAGGGGGGAAATCAAAAATGACCTCAAGAGCATCTGGAAGGATGGAACTAAGTGAAGCAAGGCTGGATCATGTTGTGGGAGGGGATCAGGAGCTTGGCTTTGGACATGCTGAGTGTGATAGGCTCCTGAAGTCCCCAGGCGGAGAAAAGCAGGCTGCTGGGGACCCAACTCTGAGGCTCTGGGGAGACTAAACAATTTGCTCAAGATCATAGGGCTGGCTAATGTGGAACCTGATTTGAACCTAGGTCTGACCACCAAAACCACGGTTTCAACCTCTGCAACTCTTTTACAAGCTCAAACCCACCCACCTACATATAAGCTGCACTTAAAGACAGTAACTACGAAAACGAAAAGGACAGTAACAAGACAGCTAACGTTTCAGCGCTATACAGTTCTAAGCACTTTGTAGGTACACTGAATCCTTCTGACTCTAGAAGAAATGGGCTAGCACTGAGACCATTTCACAACCAGAGATAAGAGGCCCTGGAGGGTAAGAGGCTAAGGATGAAGAAACATTAGGCAGCGATGAAGCTGGGATTCACACCCGGCTCTGTCTTCAGAAAAGCCGGGGATTTCAACTTTTCCCCAGACTGCCTCCCCACCTGAGTTCCACTGGGTATGAGGCAAATGGAAGCAAACGCACCGAACGTATTCTGAACACTAGCTGCGCTCCAGGACCTGCTTCCACTAGGCCCGTGGCGGGATAAGTACTATCCCTGTACCCAATGCACAGCTGAAGAGTCAGGCTCACAGCTGGCCCCCGACCTCGCCAGCCCCAGGATCCTGCCTCCTCCACTCACCTTCTTGAGCTTTCGCTGCTGCACCACGCGCGCCTTCTTAGGGGCGATAACACGGCCTGGGGAGAGACACACTCGCGGTAAGTCGGGGAGCCCCGGGCCCACCTCGTCCCCCAAACCTCGACCTCAACGCCCCTCCTTGGGCGGCAGTCCACTCCTCACCGCCCTTCCTCGGGCCCCGATTCCGTTCCGAAGCCGCCGCCGCCGCCTTGCTTTTCCCCGGCTTCTTCGCCTGGAACTTGCATTGCCCCTGCGCCATGGCGGCGCGTGCGCAGGAAACGGCTGGGCCGCAATTAAGCAGGAAGACGCAGGGCAGGGTCGGATACAAGGGACCGGAGAGCGCAAGGGCTCATGGGATACAGCGTGGCACACAGTTTAAGTGACAGCACTCACACGCTGGTCAACCAAAAACATAAAACACGCTCCCGTTGAGTCCATCCCGACTTCATAGCAACCCCAGAGGGCAGAGTAGAACTACCCCACGGGTTTCCAAGGCTGTAATCTTGAACGTAGAGTAGCTAAAGTTAATGGAAGAAAGGATAAAATAAAAGAGCTTAACAGAAAATTTCAAAGAGAGCTGGAGAAGACAAAGTAAAAGTATTATAATGAAATGTGCAAAGACCTTCACTTGGAAAACCAAAAGGGAAGAACACAATCAGCATTTCTCAAACTAAAAGAACTTAAGGAAAAATTCAAGCCTAGAGTTGTGATGTTGAAGGATTCTACGGGGAAGCTATTGAATGACGCAGGAAGCATCAAAAGAACATGGAAAAAATACATAGTCACTACACCAAAAAGAATGTCAACATTCAGCCATTTCAGGAGGTAGTATATGATCAAGAACCGATGGTACTGAAGGAAGAAGTCCAAGCTGCACTGAAGGCACTGGCGAAAAACAAGGATCCAGGAATTGACAATACCAATTGAGATGTTTCAACAAACGGATCCAACACTAGCAGCTCTCGCTCGTCTATGCCGAGAAATTTGGAAGACAGTTACCTGGCCAACTGACTGGAAGAGATGCATATTTGTGTTCATTCCGAAGAAAGGCAATCCAACCAAATGTGGAAATTATCAAACAGTATCATTAATATCACACACAAGTCAAATTTTGCTGAAGATCATCCAAAAGCAGCTGCAGCAGTATATTGACAAGGAACTGCCAGAAATTCAAGCTGGATTCAGAAGAGGATGTGGAACCAGGGATATATCATTGCTGTCAGATGGATCTTAGCTGAAAGCAGAGAATACCAGAAAGATGTTTACCTGTGTTTTATTGACTATGCAAAGGTATTCAACTGTGTGGATCATAACAAATTATGGGTAACATTGCAAAGAATGGGAATTGCAGAACACTTAATTGTGCTCATGAGGAACCTGTACATAGACCAAGAGGCGGTCATTCGAACAGAACAAGGGGATACTGTGTGGTTTAAAATTAGGAAAAGCATGTGTCAGGGTTGTATCTTTTCACCATACTTATTCAATCTGTATGCTGAGCAAATGATCCGAGAAGCTGGACTATACGAAGAAAAATGGGGCATCAGGATTGAAGGAAGACTCATTAACAACCTGAGATTTGCAGATGACACAACCTTGCTTGCTGAAAGTGAAGAGGA